TTTATCCAAGAAATTAGTAATTATATCATCAATGCAATCAATAATCTTAATGATCATGCTGAACTTTCTTTTATCTTTTGTGTTTGACTCAATGAGGCAACTATTAAAAATATTAATGCAGATATTAGAATTATAATCAAATTAATTATTAACAAAATAGAAGAAGGTAATAACTATAACTAAATATATGTTAATTTTAATTATACAATATAAATTTTTGCTTAAATGTGTGTATTTGCATATATGCTTATTGGTCAAATCTAAATAATTATAGAGTTATTCAATAAAATAGTTCAAAGTTCAAAAAAAATAATTCTACAACAAATTTATACTAAAATCAATAAATTTTATCTAAGTATTATAAAGTATTATTAATCATATAATAATTAATTGCATTTGCTAATAAAGTTACAACTACACCAAACCTCTCAGCTCATCATTTTAATGTTGAAAATGCTTATTTTATATGTTTTTAAAGTTTTGAACTTGAGTGTGAATTCAAGAATTCGAGTTATAAAGAACCTTCTATTATAACTGTAATAGTAAAATATTAATTAAAATTAATATTCTAGCAACAGAGTCAAAAATAATTTTAAAATACAAATTTCTTCATAAAAGACCTGTTAATTTTATAATGTTATTTAAAATAAAAAAAAAAATTAATAAAAATTTGGACTTAAATTCTGTAGAATTGTGAAAATATCTTCATAAAAAGTTTAACTTATTTAATGTTACATCGAAGCAGATTTATTATTAATAGTTGTATTATATATAACAGTTCTATAGAAATAATAAAAATTATATTGTTTTAGCATATAAGTTTTTTAACCAACAACAAGAAAATGAATATGAATTATGCTAGCAGCTTAAAACTAATAATATAACAGCCATTGGCTTTACAACTAAACTGCTTAACCAAAAACTGCCTAACTAGTTAAATTATTCAAAAATATATTGTGATGCTATCTATAAGACTTCTAAGAAAAAATTTGAACTTTATAACATTGTTGATAATGTCAAAGATGCTAGTTTTCTCTTGACATCTTTAATTTTAGATATATTAAAAGCTCAAAAAAATGAAAATCAGGAAGAGTTATGAACCAATGCACTAGTAGGCTTTTTTTATTCTCTTTATGATAAAGACCTAAACTCAACTTATTTTTATATAGATAAAAACTTTGTTGAAATAATACTGCAAAAAATATGTGACTTACAAGTAACATACAACTTTGTTAATAGCATATTAACAAAGCTTTTAAAGAAAAATTAAAAAGTCAAAAAAATTGAACAGTTAAACTATAATTATAAGAAAGTTATAAAAGAAAAATTTACTTTCATAAATTTTTTTTATACCTGATTTGCAGTATACAAATAGTGAATACTACATAGTTTGCCCTCTGCTCTTTATAGAACTGTTGTTGAAATGATTAAAAACTATTTCAATATGCATTCTAAAATACCTACTAATAATGGTTAATTTCTTTCTTCTAAAGAAATAAGAACAAAAGTGGGTTTTGAAATATATGAATTTTGTATTACAAATAGTCTAGTATTGTTATAGATCTATTTATAATCTTCTTGGTATAAATCAACATGATAGTATTTGTAAGCATATTTTTCAAGAACAACTATACTATTTGGCAAAACTAATATAATAATTAAGACACATTAGAGAGTTCTAAAACATTGTTACTTTTACCAATTTAACTGCCTATAACTTGACTATCTAATATGAATTATTTGCATATATGTTATACTTGATTAAGCTAATTGTTTTCAATAATTATTAACTAGCAAAATAATACTATTATAGTTCAAAGAATTTAAGAAAGAATAAAGAAATCTTCTTATCAAGCCAGTTAATACAACAGAAAGTCAATATTTTATTAATTTATAATGTTAAATTTGTAGCTGTTCATCATTCTTTCAAAGCCACTTTCTCATATGCAAGCATTTAATTCACAAAGCATTAGAAAAATCAGAATCTTAAGGTATTTGACTAATTTATTTAAATTTTAAATGACAAACCAACTATTCTTTTTTAATTTGAGACTAAAAAGAATTACAAAATATATCTAAAGTGTAAAAGCTTTTAAAATATATAATGAGTTTAATATATTCAATCAAAACTATACAAATAAAAATAAAGAAGGTATTACTGAAAGATGTTAAAAGATAGAATCAAAAATAGCAGTATTGCAATATTTAGTTGATCATATTAATAAAGAATTAAATACAAATAATTTTCAGCATATAGAAGCTATTATTAACAATTTAGACTATGCTTTTACAATTATTTCAGATATTGAAAAAGTAAAGAACCAAAGAGTGTGACATATAACTTGGTGTAATTCAAAATCTTAAACATTATTTCTAAATTAAATAATATAAACTTTTAGTACTATTATTAATATTAAACAAAGTTTATTACTATAATAATGATAAAGTTTTGTCTTAATTAAAATATAATGCTTTATTTTGAACAATTATATCTGCAAAACTATTGTCTTCAAATCCAGATCTTTAACTTTGCAAATAAGAAATAAAAGTTTCATAAATATTTTTTTACTAGTAATAATAAAATACTGTAGCAAACTTTAACTTATTTGTTTTAAAAAAATATATGAAGTAAAACTAAAATTTGAATACTGTTTTAGAATTTTTATTTTATAATGATAGTAATAATAATATAATCAAAGTGTTATTAGCATTTTTGTTACAAAAAAAGTACAACATATCAAATGTATAATACAAATCAGGAATGTTTGATCCTCAAATCATTGAATCAGAATGCACATGACAGTAAAATCAATTCTATGTCCTGTCAAAATTGATAGCTGATACTTAAACATTAAATATTTATAAGACATCAGATTTGACAGATAAAATAAACAGATTTAATTAACTCAAATTAGCTTTTGTGTATTAAATTATAATATAAGAAATAAATCCAACTAATTATATTTGTTTATAGCTATATAGCTAATAGATTATTAGTATTTCAAAACTGATAATCTGTCAAAACTGATACAAAAGCTTGCCATCATATATATCAGTTTAGACAGATTATACTATAGTACAAATTTTTACAAACAAATAAAATTTCAGCATGTTATATGACTAATCAAATAATTTGAACTAAAAATTACTTTGATATATAATTAATCAAAAATTTTACTCTAATTTTTTTTGTTATACTATGTAGTAATATAGTAGCACAAATAGAATGTAATAACTCTAATGTATTAATCTGGTATTAATTAAATAAAGTATTATAATTGGCATTATAAAAAAAAAAAAAAAATTTATATTACAGTATCTATTTCCAATAATTAAATTAAGATACCTATAATAGTAGTTATACTAATATAACTGACAGATTTTGATGAATTTATATAATTAGTTACATAAAAGAATGCAAACCAATATCAGGTAATGCAAACTTTAGATAAGTTCTTATAATTATGTAAATCTATTGAAATTAAAAAACAAGAAGTCTATTTGAAAAGATCTAAATAGAGAAATAATACAAATCTTTAATAATACTATTGTAAAGACTAAACTAAGAAAACAGATACCAATATCAAAATACTCAAACTGATAAGTACCTTCAGATTAGGAATCTTTGAGATACTACCAACTATATTACTAGAATAAACTAGAAAAAAAAATATCAAACTAATCTAATATATCAATAGATTAGTTGTAATTCTATACAAGATATCTGGATTAGAAGTCTAAAGAACAAACAAAAAAAAATATATTAAAATATTAAAAATATACTGTGAAGTAAATGTTGAAGTTCAAGTAAACTTTACAAGAATATAGTAGATAAATAATATAACTCTAACTATAAGTATTGATTCTGTCATAATAATACTAGATCAACTATAAAAATAGATAAAGAAGGTTTTAAAAAATTTATCTCAAAGATAAAATAATTCTAAAATTGAGATGATAATCTGAACATGACCTAGTAATATTAACACAGATGCAATTCAAAGGGTTTAAAATAGAACATCTAAACAGAGATGTTAAATACAACAATTGATAAGGAACCTTTAGGTGAATTTTTTAAATAGGTAATATAGAAAAGTTACATATGTAACCAATTATACACTCTTCCTGTAATGGTTTATAGAATAACATTACCAAAAAAATCATTAATAAAAATCAAAAAACTAAAAAGGTCACCTTAACATCAAAAAAAAAAATTTAATTTAAAAAAATTTAATAATATTATAACTTTTTGCAAGCAAATTTGCTTGCAAACTCCTAACAAACGTGGGATAGAATATTTTTTGAATCCTCGTGAATCCCACACCTTTTTTTTTTTGCAATCTGATTGACCGATTTACTAAAATTCCAGATACAATTGGTTGATAATCACGTGTAACTATGTCGGTCGTTCCTGCTCTCATATCGGAATCATTTTGACAATCTTGGATTTACTTATTTGCGCCGTGATACAATCCCAATATTATTTTTTTTATTTGCATAAATATCGCGTGAGAGTCACGGCGTTAGGGTTAGGATTTGGATAAGTCTTTATTAGAACGTAAAAGAGTGGTTTCTTATGTAGAATTTTGGGTAAGCGGTTATTTTTTGACACCAGCTGTTACACCTGATCTTGCGATCTACATAAGACAATTTCCTTATTTGGGTTCGTATCGCTGGCGCAAATAAGTGTACGCGTACGAACAGGAGGGTGTCAACATATAAAAAAATCATTTTACAATACCAGATCATTCCGCTAGTACATGTTATGGTTATAATCCCACACCATTTTATTATAATAAAAAGGGTATGGGATTATAATCATAACATGTACTAGCGGAATGATCTGGTATTGTAAAATGATTTTTTTATATGTTGCACACCGGGTGAAGAATCAGTCGTGTAACATCGACGGTTCCTCCTGTTACGCGTACGCGATCACTTTAACGTTAATGAGCTTCTAACTTTATAAATAGGTAACAGCAATGTAGCTATGTATCGAAATGAAGATACATCGCATGGACCCACAAGATCCTAATTCTTTTCGTCATAAATTTTGTTTTGTCAATGGAATTACTTATCGTAAGATTTTTATATTATTTTCATACTATTTATACATCTTTCTTTTAATAATACTAAATTCTTGTTAAACAATGACAAAAAACAGATTATGTAGACGAGGGAGAATAAAATAATGATGTTATAATATTATGTCATGGGTTCCCAGACTTGTAAGTTGAACGTGATACTGAAAAAAGACATAGCTATCTTTAATTTAATTTTAATATTTTTTTAGTTGGTATGGCTGGCGTTATCAAATTCCTTTCCTAGTATCTAAGGGTTTTAGAGTAATTGCACCTGACCTTCGAGGATACGATCAAACTGAATGTATTGCAAGTTAATACTTAAGAATTTTCAGCAATTTTTATAATTCTTATGCGTAATTCATGCTTATTAGGAAGCGCCCTGATGCCCACCTAACAGTCTTCATCAATATGGTTTTAAGAATATTTGCAAGGATCTTAAAGAAATAATGGATCAACTTAAGATTAAAAAGGCAATTTTTATTGGACATGATTGGTAAATTATATATATATAAGACATATATACATTATTATGAATTACTACATATTATGCTTTAATAATAGTTATTTGGATTATGCAACTGAGAATTTGAATTCTTTACATTAAATACAAGGGGTGCTTTTGTAGTTTGGAGAATGTGTATTTATTATTCCGAACGAGTCCGTGCTGTAGCTAGGTAAATACATGGCTCAATTACTAACCTAAAGTTTGTCACATATATTAAAAATCATTAATGTTGCAGCCTTTGTATTCCTTACATTCCACCTAACGACACGTATCTCAGTAATGAGGCGTTTGCCGAAATTTATCCACAGTTTGAGTATATGGTTTATCTTTCTCACCCAAAAGCCGAAATTGAGTTAGATGGCAATGTTAGTAAATTGATGATTTTTATATGTAAATTATATTATTGACTGTTAATACCAAATCTTTTTTTGAAAAAAATGATAAATAAGCCAGAAGCATTTTTAAAAGCCGTTTATCGTACTTCGAAACCAGATGACTCGCGTAAAATTTATGATGGAAATTCTATGACAGAACAGCTATTGAAGGCATAGAACGAAGTCTCTTGATCAGTCAAAAGATAAAAATATTATTGTAGCACTCATCTATTGCTTAAAAATAAAAAATAATTATATCATCATAATTTAAATATAATCGATTTAAAGGAATTGGATTACTATGTTTCACAATACCAAATTCATGGGTTTCACGGAGGTTTGAATTGGTATAAGACTAAAAAGATCAACTTTCAAGATGAAAAGGGTGAGCCTGATTAATGAATATCTCTTAGGATAAATGATTAACAGGATATATAATTCATATTATATTTCTTTAGGTGTTAGGAAGCAAATAGATCTTCAAGCTCTCATGGCAAGTTGATCTTAAATATCTGAATACATTGACTATATATATTAATTATAAAATTATTTTAGATTACTGCTGGTAAAGACGTTGATTCCCTCTGTGACATGGCCCAAAATATGCATATTTATTGCAAGAATTTGACAAAAAAAGTATCTTATTACTTATAGTACTTCTAGTAACTTATTAAATTTTTAAACATGAAATCTCAAAATTTTAATTCATTTCCAAATAATAAGCATATTGAAGAAACAGGATATTGGATGATGGTAGAACAAACCAATCAGTTTCATGAATATTTAGGGGAATATCTAGAAAATTTAAAGAAGATTGAAGAGACGTCACAAGTGAATTGAGATCCCGGAAAAATACTTCAGAGTAATTCAAATTATAAATTGTAAATATTTCAACTTTTTTTAAATTAATCTGTCAATGAATTTCATTTTCAATAATTAATTTAATATTAGACGAGTTAGAATGGTCCGATGGAAACAGTTTCTTGGTTTTCTAATAATATATTTTATCACAGAGATATTTAACTAATTTGAATGTATAAATTAGGATTTATTGATTTTATAAGTAATTAAAAGCATAATTTTAGTATAAAGCTACTGCAACATCTCAATCAAATACCTGGTATTTTTTATCTAAGATATATAAGATAATTTGGACATAGTTATATGATTAGTTAAATACAATATAATATCTGATAAAAATCTTATAGTGCCTGGATCTTTTATAAGTAAGTTCATATGATATAGATTGTCATGTAATCTGATAGATCCGTTTAATTCAGGTTGGTTATTCAGTTGTAATATTTATCATACTTGATAATTCTTTATGTAAAAAACGTTTAAGTATAAAAATTTGTGTCCATTTACCAGTATATGAACTTTTTCTTTAAATTTATTTTCAATCAATAAAGTATCCTGAAAAGTATGGAAACTTCATTATTGAATATTACCTTTCTAATTATTACTTTAATATCGTTAATACTGATTACTTCATGATTGATTATCGTAGAATCAGATTGATAATGATGTGTGATATAGGACGTTATTTTATCAAACTCAACTGCTTATATTTTTTTTCTTGGTGTATTTTAACGAAAATAATATTCTCTTTCACTTAACAATCATTTTCATAATATCTCAAAGCCAGAAAACAGGTAATATTAATTTATGTAATTGCAATATATCTTGATAAAAAAAAAAACTTCCCGTTTGATGATCTGTTGCTAAACGTAGGAACTTGAATTCTGAAAACAACACGATGTCCACGACTATTAGTTATATTGTCTTAATCACAATTATTGGGTTAGTAATTCACAAGCTTCTCTTGACAGATATCGAAGTTCCACTATTCTACCAGAATAGCGAATCAGATAATGAGGATGATAGAGAGAACGAATTATTTTAAAGGTTGTGATAATTCTGAAGGATTACACAAATATTGATTTTTTGAAGACATATTCTTGCTGACTTCATCGAGTTTAATATTGATCGTTAGATACAAATACGTAGTATGAACTTCTGAATGACTTTTCAAATCTGATAAAAAAATTTTGATCTTTATTTAGATAATGAATTAAAAATAATTATTACTATATGAATCTGTCAAGGGAAAACCTTTTTAAATTTTCACTGTACCGGACTTAAAACTCATCTTGTAATTTGTATTATAATTTTTCAAATCCTGGTACGGTAAAAATTTAAAATTGTACTGACATGTTTCCCTTGGCAGTACTAATACATTAAAATTTGTCGCGGAAGATTGATCCATATTCAAGTTTTATGATAATTGTAGAATGATTTAAGGAATATTATAACTTTTAAATAAGATATTAGATATTGACTCGTCGTTAAATGACGAACTAAATGGCAAACATGAGAATAATTACCATTTTGAAAATTTTGACAGCACGAACTACATAATAATGATAATAAAATACTGTATTTAACTGCAAATCGATTTATAAAGATATGACAAGACAAATCGCAGGAAATTCTGATTATTTGTTGATTATTCTACGGTCTTTGAATTTGAAATACTTGATGTTCTGACACTAAAAATGTGCCAGAAATATCTCTAATTACTTTCTCATATGAACTATATTGGTCATAATAATTATTAAATTAATTTTGCTAGCTAATTTTGCTTTTGCCTGCAGGTGGCCTGGCTTGTACACATATGATCAGGGTACGTATTTTGCTAAAATACCCCGTTGATATAGCGATCTATACTAAAAATTTATTCAATTTTGTATATAATTACTGGTTGTTTCTTTTTCGTACGTACGTATTAACGCTAAATTTCTAGACCTCGTATTTTTTGACTTATTTAGATCATGATCTTGTTTAAAATAGGAAAAGATAATTATGTAATCATCATCAAACTGGGATATAAATATTGCTAATTTTAGGGTAACCTTTCAAATGTCATTTATTTTCATCAGTACGTGAGAATGATTTCTGTTTTTCGAACCATTAATTCATCTAGGAAACAATTAATAAATATATTTGGTTCTACTCTTCCATTAAAATTTAATGATGCTTATGATTCTAAACGGTCACGTCAATATAATGTAGTGATTGAAGAATCTTTGAAAGCTAAGCCTGCGCATCCTTTAGAATTCTTGTTTGGTACCTGGAAAGGAAAAGGCAATGGCCATTTCGAAGGAATCAAGGATTTTGTATATGATGAAGAGTTGGATATATCTCCTGATGAAGCGGCAAGAGGGTGGTTGTACTATAAGTATGTTCTTTTATTCTGAGATTTGATGAACTTTAGGTTTTTGCATTTCATTTAGTATAACGAGATATGACTTAATAGACAAAAAACGTGGAATCCCGCGCGAAATAATGCCAATTTTCATAGTGAAATTGGATATATCAGAATGCCAGGAATGACTGACAAAGTCGAATTAGTGTTAGCTCAACCAACCGGTAAATTAATCGTTTATTATGCCGTACCAGACAGCAAAAAACGTCAGATATTTCAAATTTGATAATTATGTAATTTTTATTAGTTAATTTGTATATAACTAATCCTATATCTTAGAGCCTTTTTTTAAGCCTGCTTGATCGCAGGACGCCGGGAGGCGTACAAATCTTTATTAAATCATTTTTTATTAACGTTAAAAGGAGTCTTCTAAATTTGTAAGATCCCCACATTTAAAATTACACGAATTAACTATTTTAGTTAATCCTGATCGGATTCACCGGAGGTGTCCTTATTTCGTATTCATCTTCAGGTCCCATGAGAGTCTGTGGCTGAACTTCAATCGTGATCCCTGGCACGGTTTTTGCGATTGGGACCCGGGAGTGCGACCTCATAGGCAGAAGTTTGTCTGATTGGCTAATAAATTCAATTTAAGTTTACATTGTTCATTACAATTTAGAGTACTTTTTAAAAAAAACCGAAAACTAATCATAATGAAATAAAAAAAGCTGTATAGAAGGTTTCATTAGGGCAGTAGGATTTCATAGCTAAAAATAAGATCTGATTCTCGTCCGTTTAAAAAAGTTAGTATAGTAATAACTTCTCAAAACCCGATAACATCAACCTATTACTAAGCCAATTGTCTTAAACGGACGAGAATTTTTGACTATGGAGTCCTATAGCTTTTATGAAACCTTCTATATAGTTTTTTGACTTTATTATGGTTGGTTTCGTTTTTTTTAAAAAAAAACATTCTAAACTGTACAAATAATGTAAAATTAAATTAAATTTATTAGCCAATCAGACGAACCACTACGCTATCGACCCACGGGTAGAAGCCAAGTTTTAATTACATATAAACTTTAAGTTGAAATAACACTCAGTCTTGTAAAATATATATATATGTTGTGCCTCAGACTAACGCGTGCCTCAGATCACAGCTGACGCACCTCAGATGTAAATTGTTAAGTGAGGTGCGTAACCTATCGATCGGTCAATAAGCACAAAAAAAATTATATGTATAAAAATTATGAAGACTGAACGTGCTGAAAAGCTTAGACAAAAACTTAGGAAGAATATGCCGCGAAAATTTAGGCAAAAAAAAACTATTTGTATAGAGAAAGAATGTATGTATTAATTGGAAATAGAATGTGTGACAAAGAAAAATTCAAAAAGAACAGAGAAATAGACTTAATGTAAAAGAATGTTACTTTTGGTTGTAAATTACCAAATATTCAAGAAGGTGAGACGATTCCAAAGCGATTAAAAATATAGAATACTACTGGAGTTAAGAAAGGCACCAACTACCAGTGAGAAAACGGCGAAGAGATCCAAGAAATCGAGTTCCAAATAAAAGGGTTTCAATTTATTTTACTCTCACAGCTTAGATGACATTACGCACCTCACCTGATGATCTGCATCTGAGGTGCGTCAGCTACGATCTGAGGCAGGCTTTAGTCTGAGGCACAACATATATATATATTCTAACAGAATTGCATCTTAGATTAAAAGCAACAACTATTTAAGACAGATTTTTTTAAAAGTTATTTGTTTGAGTTATTTATATATAAATAGTGAATGTTTTTTGCTGCCCGGTACTGTATTATTGCAAAATATCGTACTAATGATTTATTCGAAATTTAGGGATCGCATCAATTGAAGAAGGCCGATTAAAAGGGAAAACCTTGACCTTAACATCGAAGTGTATTGCTCGTAGTTCTACGTCCAAAGTATGTATTTTCTAAGAATTCACGTTTATAGTAATATGTTGCTTAACAACAATATGATGCATGATTATTATATAGCCGCCTCATGTAACCGAGTTCAGAAGGTAAAAACTTTTCAAATTAGTAATTACCATATGTCAATTATAAATGTTGATTATTTTCTTTAAAAGAACCTGGACAGTAGACCTCAATGACAATGTGTTGACTTATACCTTTGACATGGCAACGTCTGATAAGCCTATGGCTCCGCATCTTTCTGCTATATTATATAAAGTATCCAAATGAGCCTTTGTGTTTTCCTCGATATTTAAAATTTATTGAACTTGATTGGCTGATATCTAATATTTTTTAACATTAATACCGTAATACGTAATAATACGTAATACAAAATAGTAATCTTTAATTAAATATATACAGTACGTATTTAAAAAAAAATCTTATATGCCTACATTAGTTCAAAATACTATCTTTTAAACCGTTTGGCGGGCAAATTTGCTCGCTAAAACGATTGGCAAAATATAAAAAACTTTTTTTCATGAAAATTTTTATTTAATTGGATATAATGACATCCAAAAGTTCAAGCCATATGCTATACCCAATAATTATGGTGTTTCATACTTAAAATAATTCAATAATGGGTATATGTTTATACAATAGTTGTAAAAAATATATTAGTTGTACCAAACATTTGAGTTATATTATCTCTTTTACACGATTTTAAATTAAGTTGGTTATCCTTTAAACTGTCCAGTGTGCAAATTTGAACACTAAAATGTTTTTTGACCAATTACTTTAAATTTTATTAAGCCTTGCTCTTCTATTTTCTAAGCTAAATTAAAAGTGTACCACAAGTTAGTTATCAAATAATTCCTATTTTATGAAATTTTTTCAACAGAATTCTGAAAATTAATTTTTTAATATTGATTGTAATATGTTCAAATTTAATACTAAAAAAGGGTTCTGCATGTAATACTTATAAAAATTCTTCACAATCATTACACACAGATATTTTTTATAATATAACTTCAAGAATTCTTATGAACAATTTTATATAACCAGTTTTTTGAAATAATATAAAGAGATAAGATGACTCAAAAGTATAGATAAAATAGTATACTTTTTTTTAGTCATTGTATAAATTTGTATTTTTGTTTAGGTTATATAAAGTGATCAATACTGTAACTATGAAGTTCATTATATAATTTGAGTTTTTAAAAGTTATTTTAACTAATTAAATTAAAAATTTTATTTTAAAAATTTATTTTAAAAAATTAAATTTTTAGTCAAAAATTTTAGTATATAAATTTGCATACTAAATCTAACAGTTTAAAAATAAATAATTTTTAATTTTAATATTATATTATAAAAAATACTTTTATTTTATAATTGTTTTATATAATTCAAAATTTTTTTTAAGTTAAAGTTTTTGCTTTTAAAAATTAATGTTTTTATTCAAATATTTAAATATAAATGCCTTTAAAAATATTCATACATAAAAGGTTACAACTAGTTACATATGCATTTTTGATATCTAATTTAAGTAGTCTGCTTATATATTACTATACAGGTTCTATACTAAATGTTATACTTGCAAGCCAACTATAAGTTTTGTTTATTTAAACCTTTTGCATATGTAGTCCAACTTATATTATAGTGATATCTTCAAGACTATATTTATCTAAAGTATTTAATGTTTTTAAGATTCTCAAGACTTCTTTATTTTTGATAAAAAACTTATTATAACCTTCTGTATCTTACATACAGCTGATCTAGTTTTATGTAACTTACTATAGTTGTCTAATATTTGTAGTTATAAAAGTTATCTGTTTAACTGCTATATTATACTATTTTTACTTTTGTAAAGTTACTAGAATCTTAGTACTTATCATCACAATGTCTTCTTTATTATTTTTTCTAACTACTACTCAGAACTAACAGGACTTTTTTGATTTTCAATTCAGATAACCTAGTATAATATATATATATATTCTTTTTTTTAATGATTTTAGCAGTCTAATTGGTTATATGCTTTTTTATACATCTTGTTATTCAGTTTATCTGTTTATTTTTTTGAAATATTTCATGAACTTCTATTAGTCTAACTAATTATTAAAAGTTTATACTATTTCTTTACTTAAAAATTTTTAAGTAGGTTTTAATTCTTTAGTTTACTGTACTTGGTAGTTTTATTATAAGTTTGCACTAAAGCCTTATGTAATACTGATTATTAATATTGTATATTAAAATTAGATATTTGTGAGTTCTAAATCAATTTATATCATAACAAAAATTCTAAATAAAACTAAATAATAAAAGAATTTAATTTTTACTTAATATGTTAATTTATAATTAACTCAATCAGTTAATTAATCAATAAATTATTATTATTATAAAACTTGAATATTTATTAATAATTCTTTAACTTGTCTATTAATTTTATAGTTTAGTAAATAATGACTAAGCAACAAAATATTTATTTTTATTTCATAATGTATTTAAAAGTTTGCTGACTAATTATCTTAAAAATAAATTTGCTAATCAATATTATAAAACTTTTATTACACAAGATAAACATAATTTTTGTATTGAAATTTTATAAAATTCATTAAATACAACAATAAGATCAGTAAAAAATCATCATTGGTTTAAAAAAAACCTTTAAATTATAAGATCTTGAAATATTAACATATTTAATATTTCAATTTATTAAATTAGAGTCAAATTTGCCAGTATGTCTTATTGATAAATATATAGTATACTTTGCAATTTATATTAAAGTATTTTAAAACATGTTGGCTTTTCAAAATTATAAGATGCTACAAGTAAAATTTATTTATTTAAGTTTGTTTAAAAAATTTTATTATAATTTATTATAAAAATAAGTTTCTAAACAATACTGTTATATTCTATAATTATTTGTAAAAGAGTTTGTAAATAATTATATAATTTGTACAATATAAAAAAGTTTCTCAAATCCTATTACAACAAAACCTATTATTGCAAATAACTTTCTTAATCAGGTGCAAGATAATTTAATTTTAATAACAAGTCTTCCAGATAGTAATTTTAACTATATATATTATATGCATAACTACTTCATATAATTTTTGTAAGGCTAGACATTAATTAGCAAAAAGCCAATAAAGTAGTTACATTTTATTTTGATATATTTGTGTGCTTTAGTGTTTTTACTATTTTTCAAACTAACAATAAGTATGAGTTTATACCAAAAATAATTCATAAATTAACAAAAATATAGTTTAAAGTTCATATAATTAATAGCATTTCACAAAGTTAAGAACTTATAGAGCATGCAAATAGTATTTTTTAGCATAAATTCTCTAAATAAATAAAGAATATATAGCAAAAGAATTGGATATATGCTATGCTATTTTGTTGATATAAGTATAAAATAGATATTTACTTTTATATTTATAACTATATATATAATATTTTATATTATATTATATATATAAATGCAATAAATATTTAAACAGCTTATTAAATTAAAAATAGTCTATATGCATTAGTGTTTGAGCAAAGCCCATTATAACATTTTGCATTATCAAATAAAATTAAATAACTTAATATTAGTTTTGAGAATAAATTATCTAAAAATTAGTTTGAGCAACTAAAATTATTAAATAATAATAATAATTACTAAAAAATAGTTGAATCACTTTTAGAAGCTATACAACTAAATTTTAATGTAAAAATATTTTGATATTTAATTACTTTATATATATTATTTATTTTATATTTAAATCATCTTACTTAATTTAGAAACAAGAATTTATTAATAATGAGTTAGAAGCACAAGACAATAAGTTGAAAATATAAAATAAATTAAAAACACAAGACAATGAATTAAAAGCATAAAATAATGAATTAGAGACACAAGGTAATAAATTAAAGGCACAAAGTGATAAATTAAAAACACAACAAATTTTAAACAAATTTAAAATACAATTATCTGTAAATGTTAAATTTAAAATACAAGTTTCAAATAATAATTTTAAAGTATATGAAGTTGCAAATAATAAATTAAAAATACAGCAAAAGAAAAACATATTTATATAAATAACAATTTTTAAATTATAATAAAAATTATAATAAACTAATTAAAATTATTATTATATAAGATCTTTGCTAGCAAAATAATCTTATGAGCCATTGTTATACAGGATTTTTATTAAGAAAATTATAGTAAATTGATTTTTAGAAAAAAATTTCAAGGGGTATGGTGACCTAGTGAAGTGGCCAGGTTGTCAACCCTCCAAGTGGTAGGTTGAGTGTTCAAATTCTATCGACACTGAAAATTTGGATAATCACCTATGTAATATTCGTATTATGGCAACTGTTACTAACGATTGGGTTAGAATACCTGTAATGGCGATCACACCAGCATTACTGGCAGGTTATGGGGCATCTGTGTAAGTATGGTGTTACACAGAGGAATGCAAACCGACAAATCAGGCAGTGCAAACACTAGATAAGTCCTTGTGGCTGTGTAAATCTGTTGAAATTGGGTAACAAGAAGTCCATTTG